GAACCAGATATCTGTTTCGATCATTGATCATCACACAAAATCCATTGAATTAGATCGTGCACTGTGAAAAGAATGTTTTACAGATAGTGTAACAATCAAAAGTCCATTTGTTAGAAACTAACATTTCAGCTTCAATGCAAGGACTAGCTCTTCCTAATTTCTTCTGGTAATATTATGAAGTGAGAACCCGTGATGGCTAGTGATACATGTGAAGTTAAATTTCTAGATCAAAGATGCATAACTTGTTTGTGCTCCACGGTAAACACTTGATGATACACATGAAGCACCCTATGTAGGAAATAATCTATAATGTAACAATAGTTTGGCGATGTCTAACTTAATCCCATGCAAGACGTATATAGCCAACAACACCACACACATTCTTTCAAAATGGCTTGGAAAATTGTAAAGTGCCAGCAAGCAAGCCCATGCAGAACTCATCAAAGCAGGGGAAAAAAATCTATAACATAGAAGCATGTATCAAGTCTTGACCTTACCAAAGAAATGTCACACAACACGTGCACATTCTTCAAAAGGAAAACCTTTTAGAAAATTGCAGAGTACCAGGAAACAAGCATCATGGCATAACTCATCAAAGCAGGAAAAATAAATAATCTATCACGTACAAGCCAGTATGAAGTCTTGATTACTAAGAAAATTGGGAACAACCAAAATAGAAATATATAAAGCACACGTGAAACAAATAAAGACAAGACTGACTTCTTCTTATCAATGTCTGGTATGTCACTTCTTTCAGCCTTCTCCACAATAACCTATATAGAGAAAAAAGAAGATGAACACATAATTAAAGAACAATTATGTATAGGACATACAGCCTATGGACAAGGATCTTGAAAGTGTTATAAAAATGCACCACACTTCAAGCCCAAAGTTAAACGAGTATTGCATGGAGAATTTTCAACCTTCACGAAGTCCCTTTAGAGAGGCACAAGTCAAACACAAGAGCACATGCTGTTTTGCAAAGCACAAGGCTCAAACAAGCTTTTCTTGGTTCAAGTTTTATATTAATTAACATTCTGAGAAGTCAAACTTTATAATTGCATATTGCTTAGGCTCTAAAGGGCCTTAGCTTCTAACTGCCCCATGACCATTTTTATAAGATGGCTCTTGATGAATTGCAAATGATATTCATACCGGAATTCTGTCAGGATACTTCTCCCTGATCCGAGCAGCTTCCGCCTGCCTCCTCTCTGGCAAAAGAAAAAACAATAAAATAATTAAAACAAAAGAAAGTAAAAATGAATAAGCTTGTAGGATCTGATCTACTGGAAGATATCAGAACTACAGTGATGCTCACTCTATAGAATGCACACACAACGAAAATCAAAACAGAAAGGCCTAGAACAATTCAATTACAGAATTAAAGGTAATATTCATATACTGAGGTTGACAATTCATCTCTCAATTAAATCTCAGAAAATCAGCAACACAGATCATACAACTCATAAATATAAACAAAAAGGAAAACAATAAGGGAAAAGAAGAGATAACCCAAATCAAGAAAGATAAAGGTTGAAGCTTAATTCAGTATAAAAATAATCAACAAAGCCCATATGTAACTCCAGATCAATCACATCAGAGAGGGAGAGAGAGAGGGAGGGAGAGAGAACCGAGTGGGTGTTCCAGCTTGAAGGAGCTTTTAGCCATGGAGGATTGCAAGTCTTGACGGTTTCGCTAGCACTTCCGAGTTACGATCACAGCATAGAAAAAAGAACCGAATTAGGGTTTCCGATTGAAAAAAAAAAAAAGGTTAATCGAAAGATTACAGAAAACAAAAAAGTCTTCTCTTTTCTGCAACTTCTTACCACAGAATATCTGAAGAACAAGCAAAGGCAAAATATTTGGAAAAGAATCTGCGAGCGAGAGAAAGAGAAACTGAAGAAATACGAAAGCGAAAAACTGTGATCGGGAAATTGATATTGCTCAAAAGAAAGAATGTGACTCCTTTTACTACTTATCCCGAAGCAAATTTCTTCACTCGTCACTCATTCACCTTCTCCACTAAACGACGGTCGTTGTTGTCGTTTCGTTTGCTGTTCAGAGGGCCACAACAATTGGTTGAGTTGTCCTTGGACTAATTTGGACTGCGATCCTTTCTGATCCTGCTCCATAGTGGGCCGAGTTTCCATGGACCACAAATAAAACTGGGTCAAGTCTGACTAAAAAACAAATACAATGCTAAGCTTAATAGTTTTCTTTAATTTGTACTTTTCTAGAGGATTCAAATCCGAAGTTTCACCTTTCAAAATACCATTATCTATGTATTTTCATGACTCAAATTGTTTTTTCCTTTAATTTGAGTCCGCAATTTTATTAAATTGTTAAAGAATGATATAATCCTTTTATATATATATAATAAATTGATGAGTATTTATAGAGTTTAGGATGTGTTTTGAGGTTGTATTGAACTTAGAATAATATATTTACTTATTTTTTCTTTTGGATTTAAATTTCAACTATTGAATTACTTTTTTCCTGTTGATCCAGCCAAGTTTTAATATCAGCCATTAATTTCTAGCCTTTAGATTTTTTAAAAAAAACAAAACAAAAGAAAGCAGCCCAATTGAAATGCAACCATTGAAGTGCAACGTTAATTCCGCCTAGATTGGAATCTCAGACCAAATCCGGCCCCATTTTTCAGTCAACCCAAATTTCCCCCCCTCCAAATACCTGGATTGGAGAAGGTTTGGGGCTAAAAATTCCAAAATTTGGATTTTTGTCTCCCTGGTTGGAGAAAGCCTTATGTCCAAAACTGGAGTCAACTTACAGATTTGTCATCGGTTGCTGTTGCTGGCATTCTTCTGCGGATCGTACTGAAATCTGTAAAAGAGACAACCTAAGACACCAATATGGTACCAACCGAAAGCACTATGATTAGATTAATAGATTGAGGAATTAATTTGACAAAGTGACAGTGCACTTTGTGATTTCTTATATTGAACTATTGGAAAGACGACGTGGCCATATGGTTCGGCAAGGGGCCGGCTAGGTGGTTCAGCGACGGTCATCACTTCAAGGCCCACTTCTTACGAATTATGCTGGATCAGATATAGTATAAAATTCATGCACATGTTAGGATCTTCTTATCTATTGGAAATGAAGTTTAAATTTGGTCCTGATTTGAGTAAAGGATATAATGCCAAAGAAATAAATTTGGAGCGTGCAGTAGTACTAACAATCAAATGGACCTTCTGCAAATGTTAGGATCTCTTTGAAGCACTACGGTTTCAATGTAATCGATTTTACCTTTGTGGTTTCAATGTAATCGGTTTCAAGGAATGTTTGTCAATTTTTGTCGTATAAAAAAATTGTTATTTTTTATTATTTTCGTTTTTACAATTGATGAAGAAGAAGAAAATCAAACTTAAAATCTCTTTCAATATTGAGATGCTGGCATGAAATGCATTTTAAATGACAGTCACACTACTTTCCGACAAATTTTTGGAGCTTCATCTTCACTCTAGTAAGGCCCAGTTTGGAATTGTTGTCACTTTTAAAAAAAGTTGCTTTTACTGTGCTTTGAAAATAATTAGCTGTAAAGTAAAGAAGCTCCATGTTTGGTAAACATTATTTTTAAAGTGCTGCTAGTACAAAAAGCAGTGTCAAAATCGTTTAATAAGTTTTAATATAAAATTGTTGTAATTGTGAATAATGACTAAAATAGACATGATGTTAAAAGTGTTATGTATTAATCATGTGGTAGTAGTAGTGGTAGTGGTGGAGTTAGTGGTGGTGATGGCGATGGCAGTGGTTGTGGAGGTAGTGAATGTGGTGGTGTAAGTGGTGGAATTGGATGTGGAAGTGGAGGTGGTGTTATTTTTTAAAATGAATGATAGTATTTTGGGAATTAAAAAAAATCATTAAATGTTCATCTATACTTCTTTTGAAATCAGCTTTGAAAAGCAATCCATAACCTGCTTTTGAAAGCTGCTGTCAAAAGACCACTGCTTTTAAAATAATCGAGATATTTTATTTTTATCAAACACCTTCAACTACTTAACTTTAAAGTAAAGCAATTTTTGGCCAAAAAAAGGAATCCCTAACGGGTGGTGGAAGGTTCTGCTTTGGGTCTGGTAGGTGAGAATATGGACTTTTAGTGGACGGAAGTGCTCCACTTGTCAAACAAGATGATTTGTGTTAGAAGCATAGACCTTTATTTGAATCTGGAGAGACAGATATTCCAACTACTTGGAAACACTTCAAAACTAGTCATTTCACAAATATACATACGTACATACATACATACATACATACATATATATATATATCATATTTCATTTTATGTTCTTCAGATTTATGGAAGAAAACCCATCTAAGTCCTCTCTTCATCCACCTCTTTATGAGAAACAGCAGGTGGCTCAAACATGCTAAAGACCCTATAAGCTGAAATCACAGCTAAGACAATGAAGCTGCAAAGGGCCAAGGCATGGAGAACCAAGGCCACCTTCATTCTACTGCAGAATCTTCCATAAGAACTACAAGCTTCACTCCATGAGACTGTCCTGTCACCATTGGAGGCCAAAGACTGTATCTCCATAACTGCAGCTACAGATGTGAGCATTAAGTAAGCCACAATCTGCACCCAAAATTCAAACAAAAGAAAAGGACACAAAATCAGCAAGGCCACCCTCTTACATATATTTGTGCCAAATTTGGGACCTTAATTAGTGGTTTTCAACATTACAATTAAGCCTTCAACACAAATCAGGATAAAAACCAAAATGGGTAATCACACATTTTATCAAAATGTTGACAACCTTTGAGGACATATGTGAAAAACATAATAAGAACAGAACTATTTATGAGGGTAGGTATTTCATTTTTTCCCCAAAATTCCAAACATCCACCTCCTATATATTATTATTATTATGTCTGAAAGTGAAAAAGAGAAAGAAAATAAAATAAATTGAAGGGGACAAAGAAGGGCAAAGAAAATGAACCTGGTCAGAGACAAAGAAAAGCCAAGCTTTAGTCACCAAGCATCTGATCCATGAGGCCATAGTTGCCAGAAAAACATATGCAGCAGAAATGGTGCTGATGCAAACCATGTACCTGCAGAAAGACAGCTCAAATATTAAATTTAAAAACAGAAGAATTAGGCAGACCAATTAATGTCCAAGAAAATGAAAAAGAAGATGAATGGGGTTCTTGCTTGAGGCCCATGAAATTGCTGAACTCTATCTTCCCATAGCTGATGTTGTCTTGTTTGTTTGTCACAGTGAGCCATATGGTTGCAATGCTAAGAGGAATCACTGAAACCCTAAGGGAGCAATCTAGGAGCTTCAGGGCAGGAACAGGAAGGTTGGAAGTGAAGTTAGGAGAATTTTCATCAAAGTTTTCTCTCATTTTTGGGCAATGCAAATAAGACCAACTTTCACTTTGACAACAACCTCTGGTCTTATTATATGAGAGTGCAGGCAGACTGCACAGAAAGATAATTTCTTTTCTTTTCTATTTTTTTTTTAATGCACAAGAGAGATGAAAATGTTGCTAAGACTAAATGGTAATGTGGGTAATAAATATAAAACAGTTTAGGGAAGATGTTACATATACTTATGTACTTGTACCTTTTTTTTTTTTTTTTTGGTGTGGAAAAATAATCAATATGGGTTTATTTTTCTTTTTCTTTTATTTTACTTAGCTAAGGTTTTATTTTATTTTTATATATAAAACAAAATGCTTGAAAGAATGTGTGGAGATACATTACATGAAGTCTTGTTAGTGAGAGGGGAAAAGATAGATGATAGTGGGGCTGTTGCTTTTCAAGTGCAGGAAATCATGACATGGTGTCGTGATTATCTAGAACAAATGCCATGATTGATGGTGATTCTACATGACATCAGGCTTCCCTGATACTTTAAACTACTTTATTATGAGAAAGGAAATTCTTAAGCTCACCATCTTTTAACTCTAAACCCTAAAACCCTTTTAATTATATTGCGAACAATTGAACATATGCATTCAAAAGCGTAATCCATTCAACCATTGAAAGCATAGTTCCTCACTTTCATCTCTTTCAAGTTCATTAGGTGCACACTTTTATAATAGATACAACCACACATATTAGCTATATTTAATTAATTTTATTTTAAAGTACAAACGATAGTTTAAACTACAGAGAATGGAGATTTCTCACACACACAAAACTATGATGTCGTAGCTAAACTCCATTGGCAGCTATGGTAATTATAATATAACAGTTGGCAAACATTGAGTGAAATGATGAAGCTCCACCACTTAAAAGTAAAGATAATGAGCAAAATTATTTATCCAATTCCCAATCAAGTCCTTGTGTGAAAACTTCATTAACTGAACTAGAAATCCACCCTAGAGAGGATTGTTGATCATAAGTCTACATGACCTCACAGTGACATATTTAATCTCTTCTTGTTTTTTGTGTTGGGAAACATTATTTCCTAAAAGAGCCACCCAGAATGCTGTAAGTACAAGAGATAGATAAATCTCCTTGGTTGCCTCTGATGGTGATAACTTATTTGTCTTCACCCATAATTTTTTATTTTATTTTATTGGTAAATTTTCTCCCATCAATTTGGTTGAGCTGTTCACTTAATGGATGACCTTTGTTTGGTCACTTGATGCTTTTATAGCTCACCTACTCAAATTCATTAGTCTGCGCCAGGCAGATGGGAGTATTAATTGTGAGTTACATTTAATGCAGTATCTATGATCAACAAATTGTTAACTCAGTAAATTCAAGTGAATTGAGTCAACTGGCCTGTGGTCATATATGCTTTGCACAGTGAAGCTTCATCATCAAGAAAGAGCACCAAAAAATATCTATCCTCATTTCTTCTACTATCATGGAAAAGGTATAAAACCCACAAAAAGTTTAACTGCAATGCACTAATTTATAAAGTAAAAGGCAGCAGGACAGTGGCACTTATTGTGGAGCTCCATTAGCCATGGAAGACTTACAAATGGCCCCGGAAGCACTCAAAGAATGAATTAACTACAATCTCTTGCCTCTTTTAAGTTTGTTATTGGGGTTCTCTCCTCTTCTAAAATGGAGTAGAATCCCAGAAATAGGAAAGCAACTTCCCCAGCAGGGTGCCAACCCATCTCGCTATGCATCTCATTTTACATATCGTGTTACAAACATTTTTCTGTGCGGAACTTTATGATACAAGCTCAAGCCATTTACATGTTCCTCCTGAGTTAGGAAGAAAGTTGCTGGTTAGAAAACTGCATTCCACAAAGCATTCTCACCTTCTCCACAACGCCGATGGACCTCCTTGATCCTCTCGGAAGATTTGCAGATTCCACTGCAAGTCCAATCGAATGAAGCAACACAGACATTGCCTGCCTGAGCCTTCCATTCACAATCTGTGGTAACAATTAACACCATTAAACTTATAATTGTACATTTCATTATGATAATATCTGTTCCTAGCTTGAACCATGCACCGTTAAGTTTCACCCCCATTTTGTTTTATTTGTAATTTTAACATGTAAACTTATCATGAATGAATGGGCAAATCCACACAACTCACCCACTAATAACATGGAAAGAGCACCACAGGGAAAGACAGGTGTCTTTCACCCATGTTGTTCCGCACATGATCAAACCTGGCCTTGAAGTCTTAAACAGAAGTCACATGAGAACGTACGTCATAAACAGAAAGAAGCGAACTTCTAGTAAGAAATGGTCAATAGGTCGGAAGATCCAAGCTAAGATCTCATGACGAGTCTTAGATGTGCCGCTAGTCACCATGATCAAGTGTCACCAGCTAAACAGCAAGTGTGGCAATTAATGGGCCATAATCAACCCAAAACACAATCCTAGATATGAAAGCCACTGCACAGACTTGTGTGTTGTAACAAAGGTCATAGCTAAAGGGCAGGCGTGCTTTAAAGTGGTAGTAGTCATCTCTTCTAATTATTATTATTTTTCAGAACAGTAAACACAATGGGTAATTGTGTCTTTCCCACCTTTTTTTACACTAAATACATCCTCTGGCATTTCAATTCTATGGGTCTGTAATGAGTGAAAAACTCAAACCTCAGCTGCCCGTGGACCTAGGCCCTGTATACCATGTAAGCCAATGCCTTACGTCACAATCACCAAACTATCCCCATTCCTAGTATGCCACATAATGAAAATTGTGCTACCCAAATAAATAATTCAACTTGTTTGCTATAGAGTCAGAATAATAAACAATGTCTTGGTGATCCATTGGCACTCTAAATAACTGAAACACAACGTTGAAGATATGGTGTGTGCAACAACCCAGGTTAATCAGATTCTTAGAGACCAAAATTTCTTTTCCCAAAACTAATGCCATAGCAATCCTCATTAATACCCAGATAGTTGAAAGGAAATGGGACAAAATAGATGCATATGAAATTACCAGGTGGTGTTCCACAACATAATCTCCGGTCATCAATCTGCTCCACATCCAATCCAATGAACCACGACCCCAGAGAAACATCCTCATTGGCATACTTGTGTAGCACATGCCTACATGATTAGCGTAATGTAAGAAATATGTAAACGTACTTTGGGCAGAAAGATTGCCACCATACAGAATATGGAAACATACTGGTTGATTGATATGTAAGTAGCCAAGTCTTTTGAGATAGCATAGAGCTGTCCAGTGGCATGACGGAAATATTTGTTCCCTTCCTCGCCAAATTTCCAATACTCGGGCTCATGATATCTCACTCCCCTGTTGATAAACAAATAAGGTAAGGGAAAGAATGGCAAAAATGACTAGCTGAAAGAAATAGTTTGAAGAGCGTTCAGCTCACTTTCGAGCAAGGACTGGACCAGATTTCATGCATCCAATATACACCCTGGGGTTTGATCTATGTCTAGCTAAAGTTGCTCCAAGTGTTCCTGCAAAAACCAGATGAATGAATTCGACAATAAGGAAAATGGAGAAAGATATAGGCATAAGTTATTACACACTGGATGCAGCAAAAATGCCAAACATTAATGACTACTTAAACAAGACTCTGATTTCAGCTTAATCAAGAAAAGCCAATTTCCAGTTTTAAAACCTTGAAAACACAAATTTTCAACATTTTTGGCCACAGTACTACCCACTTGGTTGCAAAACATAGTCATATAAAGACAATGCTTTACATCATTCGGTATTCATCATGAAAACATTTAGAGGTTATGTAAAGCATGAATACATAGGAAACTTTATGAATACCAAGTGGACATGTAATTTTGAGCTTGAATAATGAATGATTCAACTCAATAAAACAAAAACAAAAACAAAAACAAAAACAAAACAAAAAACTTTCCTGAGTAAAAGATTTCTTATGCTTTTATACCTACAAAAGAAACAGAACACGTGATAAATATATACCTATATTTACATGTACATCATCATCAACTTTGACGTAGAAATCTGCATCCCATGAAGCAACAGCAGTGGCAAAAAATATCTTTGTCTTTGCTGACAATTCAAGATAGCCCTCAACATGATCCTGCTTTCACAAAATTTATGAAGACAAATTTCGATCAGCTTTTTCCTAAGATCAACACATTATGAAATGTCCCTACATAGTATATCTATTGTGCAGTCAGATAAAAGACTAACTGAACTAGTTGAAAAGATAAGGGCTTTACCAGCCGCAAAATGTCACCATGTTTTTTGTCCTCTGCTTCAACAGCTCTATCAAGGATACCACCTGATGTAGCACTAGCAATGGAACAGGTGATAGAGGAAAGACAAATCAGTTTGTGATCATTAAAGTTTATATTTTTTATCTTTAAAGAAGTGCAAAAGATTTCAAAGTTGAGGTGACTATATCGTAGATAACCGGGGGGTAAATCATGTGACAAAAAATTAACTTTGAGATAAAACATAAAAATAAATAAGAAATAAGAAATGCAGTAGTGAAAACAGAATGCATACATACACATATAGACAATGGAGCCTGAAAGCTGTCTAGCATGCATACTTGTAGTGTTTCTTTACATGATGGAGAATAAAATTATGATGTGGATAGTATAAGGGAGGGGGAAAAGAAATTAGAATTTTAAGACATAACCAAAGGGGAAAAGAGTATTTGATTCTATCACATTGTATGATTCCCAGAATGTTTTTAATAAATAAAAACTCTCTACATAGATTGAATCTATGGCAGGCTAAAGATCTCAATAGCAAAGAACCAAATCACATGATTTTCTTGTGAAAGACTGAGACCTTCATGAAATATATTGATAGAATACCTAAACGATAAATCAAAAGAAAATTGGTATCAACAAACAGCTTTGAACTCAAATGCCCACCTGTGACCTATTACAAATCGAATTATAATGCCCTTTTCTTCCTCAAGGTTCTTTCTTTTATCGCCTAATCATATAGTAAAGAAAAAGTGGAAAGGAAATGTCAGAAGCTTTCAAATCTAATTAGAAAATTATACAAGAAAGCAGGTTGTCAATCAACAAACCTTGAGG